AAGGTTAAATAATTTGCTCAGGTTCCCTAGCAAGCCACGAGCCAAACTGGCATCATAATTTTAAATCCCAGGGCTGTCTGTGGCTTGTTTAATCCACCAATCCACACCACTTCCCTTTATAATGGACACCCCCCCCCCCACCAAACACTGTAATTATGAAAGATGGAAAAATTCTCTGCAAATTTCCTTGGGGGAAAACTAAAACAAACTAAAAAGGAATGTCATGCCTCACCGCTGGGGCCCATATAAACATTATCCCCTTGTTTCCCCCTGGACTGATGACACAGGACACAGTCCATCTGATAAGCCGTCAGCAGATGGCTGGATCCCTCATTGTACCCATTCCCCACCGACGTCAATTGCAAGCAGGAGCAGTTATCAGCACTCCAGACAACAGATGGGATGAGGAGGTGTGGTTGGTCTGAAGTCAAGGAGGCGGGGGACAAAAAGCCTAGTTCTCAAATCTATCAGGTTTTCTCTCAAACAAATCCATCAGAGAGCAAATGGAATACACCCGTGTATATTCTGTGAGTTCCAAAAGGTGTCACAAAAAGCTCAGGGCCATTTTGAATATGTGCCATTCTACGCTTTCAGCAAAGAGGGAAGAAGTAGAAAAATAAACAGTGAGCCAAAAGCAGGTTAGCCATATTTGGTGGAAGTCAGCCTTCTAATATATCGTAAAGACAGAAAAATAAAATAGCAATGGCAACTCTAAAAGAAGGATGGGGCTCACTAGGTATTATAGGCTAAAAACCAGAGGCTTGGCGTTCCAGGGTCAATAGCATCAATTATTATTTGGCAAATGTCCAGCTGAGATCCAGCCTGCCTTATGCACAGAGACACGGAGGGTTAAACATCATATGTTGTGCCCCACTCAGTTCAGCGCCCAATCAGGAGATATTGACACAGACACATACAGAACCAACCGGAAGTGGACAATTAGACAAGACATCCCGAATTTGATCTTTTCGTTAAGTTCCTAAGACAGAGACAATATAACTGGATGCAAAGGAGATAAAAGGCCACCAGTCTTTATGGACACAATCAGTCAAATTGTCTGGCATTTTAACCCTTCTGCTAAGAACTTGTAGATTTTCGGACTTAAATAGCTATGAGAATCTCTTCCTGCTAAAGCCCCAATTCCCACTGTGGCAGCTCGGTTCTAAAGCCACCTCTGCCACTAACTTGCTGGGTGATTTTTTTGGTAAACAGCATAATCAGTCAGTAAATTCATTCCCTGTAACCCATACCTGCCAAAATAATATGCACAAGGGGACTAGCCACACTTGAAGAAATACTGGTGCAATGGGTAAACACCACTGATATTCAGCAAGGGGTTTAATAACAGTGCGTTAATCCTGGTGCTTGCTGATCCCGAGAACCCTCAAGCATCACCGGCTTGAGCTCAGATGTGGGAAGGTGCTGCTGTAATCATACAAACCTCCGCCAGACCCCAGTTCCAGGGCCCTTGAGATATCAGATGAGGCCAAAAAGAAACCAGACAGCAGGAATATTAATCCAGAACAGACCTCAGATACAAGAACTGCCCTTCCTTATGCTTCTAAAGCTGGCGGTCACCCAAAGGCAGCATGGCTATGATGAGGGTCTGTGTAACAAGGCCTTGGAAATAAATATTTTACAGACTGAAAAATGGGAGATAAGGAGACTAACCACTTTCCCTCCAACTCTTCCATTTCCTGGCCTAAAGCAATACTGTCCTTGTGACAAACTTACACTGGCTCTGAGGAACAAGGCCTTTCTATAAAGCCATAATTGAGTCGGCCTGTTGAGAGACACACATCAGAAATGCCTCTGCTAAGCTCCCGCTTTCATTTCAGCTAATGTCTCCCTTTCCTTATTGGGACCTCTGAACTCCACAGAATTCACTGCCATAATATGGCCTAACTCAGCTCATTCACTTGCCAAAGCATTGCTTTGTACTCAACATCTCCCCTGTGGAATGCACACGGTCACAGGAAACATTTTAACAAGCCCCTCTCCAGGCTCAAGCTTATCTAGCATAACCCTAAAGAAGATAAAGCATGTGAAGGTGTCTTATAAACAGTTAAAAGCTAGATAAATGTAAAGTATTGCTAACCATACTTACTACCATTAGTCATTGCTGTAACTGAGTCAGAAAACTGTTTCCGACCATCTGTTGTTAAATTTCTTTTAAGGACTCACATGAACTTTTAAAAATCCATACGTCCCTGCTTCCCAGGAAGAGCCACAGGTAAGGTGTGGAATGTTGGATTCATCACAGGCTAAGTCCCCCACTAGGCCGGAAGTTGCTATTTAAATGACACAAAGCAGTGACTTAGGAGTAAAGGACAAAGCAGTACAATCCTGCTCTGGCCCAAGAATTCCTCAGCCTGACTCTGTTCTTTGTCCCCCACCCTCTAGCTTCAGAGTTTAAGCTAAGCACAGGACAACAGCAAAAGCACAAGTAACAGGAATCAGTCCCTAGTTCCCCAAACATCTGTCTCTCTGCAGCTGTCAGCCCCGAGTGCCAACATCATCTACGTGTGTCCCTAAGGGTGGCCTGGTCATGTGTACTTTACGGGGAAGACACAGGGAGCAAAAGATGAACGAGGATGAGAAGATGAACAAGGCCACCTGAAATCGGAAAGGAGGCCAAAAGCATTTCTAGAATAGCTCTCTGTGGCATCCCCGGACTCTGCTTAAGAAGAAAAGAATCACAGAACATAGGCTGTCAAGAGCTAGGAATGCAACTTTGCCTCGTTTTGCAGCTGGGAGAACTGAGACCCAGGAAAAGTCCTTTCCCCAAAGTCACACAACTAATTAATGCCAGAACGAAGTCTCCAGCGTCTTCTAAAAGCCTCTAAAACCCTCTGCGCTAAAAACCGTGGTGCTGGACTTCCCTGGTGGCACAGTGGTTAAGAATTCGCCTGCCAATGCAGGGGACACGGGTTCGAGACCTGGTCCGGGAAGATCCCACATGCCGTGGAGCAACTAAGCCCGTGCACCACAACTACTGAGCCTGCACTCTAGAGACCACGAGCCACAACTACTGAGCCCGCGTGCCACAGCTACTGAAGCCTGCGTGCCTAGAGCCCGTGCTCCACAAGAGAAGCCACCGCAGTGAGAAGCCCGCGCACTGCAACAAAGAGTAGCGCCCGCTCGCCGCAACTAGAGGAAAGCCCACGCGCAGCAACGAAGACCCAACACTGCCCTAAATAAATAAATAAATAACTTTATTAAAAAAAAACATGGTGCTGCCAGGTTTGATGTAATCACACCAGGAGCAGCCCCAGTCAGGCTGAATTTAGTTCTTTGTTGACCTTGTACGTATGTGGTTGTCAGAGGCCTCAAGACCCCTTTGTAGAAAAGGCACCCTCTGACCCTCACCACCTGCCAACCAAAAAAAAGCTCTCCTGTCCCAAGAGCCTCACATAGCAGCGGCTGAGATGCGTTGTTTCCTTTCATTAACAAAAAGCCCATTCATCAAAAAAAGGAAAGAAAGAGGACAGGCTCAAATTTACACAGAAGGTCTAGCTGGGAGAGCCCTGGGTTTCCTGTGAATGGCATCACTCCCCAAGAAGTCCTCTTTGGAAAATGCTACCCACTCCAACTCTGCTGGATGCTTATAGCCATCCCATCAATAAGAGCTGCTTTATTCCAAAGTTGTCTACACCTCCTTGCCACATCTGCAAGACTGGAAGGGGTTTGTGGCCATTCACATTTTACAGACTGGGAAACTGAGGCTAGGAACCTGCCATCAAAGGAGTTCCTAGAACACAGAGCTAGCAAGCATGCCGGCCACAAGCAGGCGGCGCCATGCCGATCAGCATCGGCCGCTCCCCAGAGACTGCCCTGCCATTCCGCAACCCCAAAGAGGGTAGATTACCTTTCCAACCCGGAAAGCTAATTCATCTTTTGGCTGCAGGCGAGCGACCTCCCATCCCTGGGCTCCACCAGGCCTTTAAAATGGAGATAAGCATCTCGACCTCCCGCCCCACACAGGGTTATCACAAGGCTCCTGAGAATAACCTTCTACAAATATAAAAGCAGTAAAGATGCTAATGACAGGTTTCAAAACTGTCCCTGGATAAAACACACCAGGTTTTAAACAGCTTGAAATCTAGAAAAGATTTTTTTCCCTTTCTCCTCTTCCTCCTCCTCTACGATTTTATAGTTTTAGAGCATCTCTCTACACAGGCTGAGTACAGAAAGACAGTCTCGCTCTTGGTCCTCACCCAGATTATTTTTATGTATCTGGCAACTTTCCTTTTCAATCTCATTTGTTTTTCTTAGCGCCACTAATGGGAGGTAAAGAAATCAGCTGTCTGGGCACCCCTGGACCGTGACCTCAGGAGAGAGAATAAGAGTGGTAAGACGGAGAGGTTTGCAGGAAATAAATACCCTCTCACCATGGACAGAGAAAAGTTCATGAGTCTGCCTGGGGTCGGCTTCAGGGTGCAGTTAGTAGGAGCTTCGTGCTGCTCCAACACCGCAGAACTCAAAGGCAGACCTCACCCCGAGAGCGTAAACTCCCAAATGAAAGAGTCATTCAGAGAAACCCGTAAAAGGATTTCCCCAAAGTACGACAGTGGAGACCAGTAACCTTATGTGACCACCTCCAGGAAAGAATGTCACCAGGCCTCTGGGAAATTAACTGTGGCAGAGGTAACGGGGGAATGGGCCATGGTCCCCCACTGGTGATTCAGAAAGGGCACCTGGCTGGGGCTGGACTTCCTGCTTGTGAAAGACCAGGGCAGGCCTGGGAGGGGAGGGGTCGTGGCCTGAGTGCTAGTCTTTCCTAGTGCCCACCTCCACCGTGGAGCTGACGCATTGTGCAAAGGTAGAAGAGAGCCAAATCTGAAATCCGCACACAAACTGCCTCGCTGGAAAATCATTTGTGAGGGTCCCACTACCCGCAGGGATGAGGTGCTCTACACTGCCACGTGTCCTGAGCACACAAATGACTCTGATGGCTGAGGCTGCCCGGGGTGGGGTGGGGGGGAAGTCAACAGACTCACATGCATCATGGTGACCAGGTGACAGGGGTTGAGCAGGTAGATGACGGTCTTGGTGGCGAACTTAAAGCCCACCTCCACCCCGAAGGTCAGGCACAGGGCTACTAAGAGCAGATTCTTGCTCAGGCTCTCTTTGCCTTCCTCTGGCCGCTGGGTCACCTGCTCTGGCTGGCAGCCACGGCCACCCCTACCGTCCTCCTTCGTCTGCCTCAGGATGTGCCGCAGGGCCACCAGGATCTCCAACAGGGCCAGGGTCAGGACCACCACACTTTCCAGCAGCCGCTGCTGCCAAGAGAGGAAGGCAGCACAGTCGGGGCCCCCATTGCCTGCAAAGCTGGGGTCCACGCCCCCATAGAGCCAGTCCAGGAGACTTTGGTAGCTATACCGGGACATGATGCAAAGTGGTTCCCCTCGACCACCGTGCAGGAAGCAAGAGCGAGATGGAACACAAGCCCAGAGGGTGGCCCGGGTGGTGGGACATGTACGGAGGGCACACCCCCGCACCCGCACCCCCCTCCGGACACCAGGGCACCTAGAGCAGGGGACGGGAAGCTACACGCGAGGCCCGGGGCAAAGTGCTGGCTCTAACTTGTCCCCACGGCTGTCTGGGGAGCCCCCCGCGCTTCTCCAGTGGCCACCAACGAGGCAGGGTGGAAACGAGCCGTTGGCCAATCTAAAAGGAAGGAGAGGAAAAAAAAAAAAGGTCTCAAAGAGGCAATTGCATCGGGAATTTACGAGGCGGGGAGGGGTAACTAGCGAGGGAAGAAAAGGAGAACAGGGGCAGTGGCGAAGCAAGCAGGGGTCAGGGGAAGTCGGAGGCCGGGAGGGTCAGGGAGAGGGCCGAGGGGACCCGGCAGCGCGGCGGGAGCGAACCGGGGGCGACGGCGAGGGGACACGCGGAGGCCAGGAGGGGAGCTGGCGGGGCCGGGCAGGGCGACGGGGCTGGCGGGGACGCCGGACTCCTCGTCTCAAGCACTCGCCACAGGGGGATCGCTTACTCCTGCAACCGCGTGGCCGCCTCTGCCCGCAGCGAGCAACTTCGCCGCCGACTGGCCCCTCCGAGCCAATTTAGAGCCGTCCCTGTCCAGCCTCCCGCCCCCGGGTACACCCCCGAGCCCCCAGCTCCACCCCCCGGCCCAGACGCCCGCCCTCCGGGCAGCACCTCCCCCAGCCCGCGGCCCGCCCGGGACCTGCCCCCCTCGCGCGGGCAGCGGCGGGAGGAAGCCGGGAGGGAGGGAGGGAGGGAGGGAGGGAAGGCGGGCGGGAGGCCGGGCCAGCCGGGGGCTGGGCTCCGGCCGGCCCCCTCCCTCCATCCCGGCGCCGCATCTTCCCGCGCCTCCCGCCCGGCCCCAGGGACTGACAGCCGCGCCCTTCGGGGCTCCACTCACCGGCAGTCGGCCTGCAGCCCCGGCTGGGCACTCGCTTGGATCCCCGCGCTCCCCACGCCCGGGCACTCGGCTCCCCCGGCGGCTGCCGCGGCCGCCGCGCACGGCTCCTCCTCCCCGTCTTCCTCCCCCTGCAGCCGCCGCGCTTGCTTCCTCCTTCTTCCCCTCCCTCTCTCCTCCCCCTCGCCGCCGCCGCCGCCGCCACCTCCCCCTCCGGTTCGGCTCGGCCCCTCGGGCCGCGGCCACCCCGCCTTGCCTCCTCCCCTCTCCCGCCTCCCTCGTTCCCCCTGCCGCTCCCACCCTTCACACCTCCCACCCTCCCTCTTTGCGCCTCTCCCTCCCCTCCCTCCCCCGGGCTCAATCCCCGCCTCCTTCCCCTCCTCCCCGGCCTGCCTCGCGTTCGGCACTCGCCGAGCCTGCACGCGTGCACTGCCACCTTCTTGCACCACCGTCTACGGAATTCGCCTCCTCCGCGAAGCCGTTTGGACCGACTCCACCTCCTGCAACCCGGTTCGCCAGGGCATTTCTTTGTACACCGGGCACCTAGTAGGCGCTTAGCCAGCTCTCGCTAAGTTCTTGGGGGAATGGACGAGCCTGTCTAGTGATGAGCAGCTGGTCAAGCTTGGCTTTGACCGGGGGGGGGGGGGGATCTGCTGGGTGTGACCTTCTACTGTTCGCCTCTCCTCCAGTCCGCCCTGAAATAGCAGACTCGGGCGGGGCCCGGAAGGCGTCTTCTCCCACCTTTCTAGCCACAGCCCTACTCTCCAATACTAGGACGAGGCTTCTTTTCCTACTTTGCCCGGCCCTTCCCCCTCCTGCTCCGCTCCAGCGTTTCTCCTTCTAACCTCCGGACACACAGCCCACCGGTGCCGCTGCCGTCTCTGCCTCTGCCTCCCTCTCCAGGCCCTCTGTCTCCCCTTTCTCCTGCCACGCCTTCGAGCTCAATCGTACTCTAGCTGGAGGAAAAGAAGCTTCCCCTGACCTCTTTCCCTCCTCCCTCTCTGCGACGGAGCAGCTGTTTCCCAACCTGAACTTGGCCGAGAGTCCTGCCACTGAAAGGCCTGCCAGGACGGTGTGGGTGTGCAGGGGCCCCAGAACTGGATAAGGGCTGCTGATTGAAACAGGAGCCCCTCTTCCCTGCTGCTTCCTACCCATAGACTGTGGTTTGCTTTTCTTTGGGCAAGGAAACGGGAAAAAGACCTTTTAAGAATCTACCTCGTGTTGGTTTAATATTTATTGAAAACTCAAAAAGAGAATATCCAGAAAAACACAGTTAGGCACCTCGCCTGGGAAACACTTTCTGGTGTTGGCTGCAAGCCAGACTCAAAACATAAAATACAATCTACTGTATTATCAGGCCATTGTCCTCCCATCCTTTCCAAGTCTGGTTTTCCCCACGTAACCTCAGAGCCAGGTAACCTTGTCTAATTCCAAGCTTTGTACAGCATCAACCATACACCTGATGCTCTCCAAGTGCTAATTAATAAAGAACAACAACAAACAAGGATTGATTCAGCGGCTCTCCATAGGTGTTTTGTTAAATCCTCTGCACCATAACATTAAGGATAAAGCTGTGGAGCTCCTGGCAATGACTGCAGCCTGAGACCTCAAGTTCCTATCTTCAAGGAAGTAAGAATGAGGTTATAGCACTCAGCAAAAGGCTTCATTAATCCATGCAGAACTTCCTTGGGAATTTGGCCTAGAGGGTCCTGTGTTTGCAAGATGACTGTCTTTAGTGACTGTAGCCAGGCCAACTTCCTCACCTGAGGCACAAATTCCTCTCTTGCCAAGTGTAGAATAGCCAAGTGTTTTGACGACTAGGATTCTAGTTCTAATTATGCCATTTACTTGCTATGTCACCTTGGGCAATTTACCTCTCTGTGCCTCAGTTTCCACCTCTCAACCGAAGGGTTATCAGTGATCTATTATCTAATTCCTAGGATTATGCACATTTAAAATGAGTTGAATTATGCAGCACATTATGTAGTATCAGGTGCATGAAAAGTGCTCGATAAATGCTACCCGTTAGTTATCTTCATCCAGTTCTGCATCTGCGCTGGCAGGCCTGCATGGGTGCAGACACACTCACATTCAGTGCCTTCCCCTACATCTGCATAAACAATCCTACCCAGCCTTCAAAGCCCACGTGAAATTGCACTCTCCCTACCCCCCACCTCCAGCTCCCAGAGCTCTCTCCCTCCTCTGAACTTCAGCAGCAGTTATCGCCTGCACTACTCATTTTATTCTGAATCACATACTGCCTTCCATTGTTCTCTCATTGTTAGTTCTGTCTCCCACACTCAGATCTTTGACAGCAGGGATGGGTCTTCATCTTTTCTAACCCCCCCTCAGCACCTAGCAGAGTGGCAAACATAGTAGGCACTATGCACAGACACTGGGGGAGTGTTGTCCCCATAGGTAAAAGGCAAACAATGATTGAACTGAAATGGTGGGTCAGATTTTGGAAACTCATAAGCTCCAGACAAATGTCCTGATCATTTCCTTGCTGGGACAACAGGCCATTGGCTTCTTGTCTCCAAACCGTAACAAGAGCACATGAACTTGGTTTTTTAAGTAGAACCTTGAAGCGCAGTGATAAGGGAACTGGGACCTTGGGGAAAGTCATCTCTCCGTGACTCCATGTACTCAGGTAAAATGAGTGGGGTGGACTGGAATGGATTCTAAGATGCCTGTCGACTCTAAGATTCTATGATTCTAGGAACTCAGCCTTGCTGCCTTCCATCCAAGTCATCTTTGAACCTTAAGGCAGAAACCTGATCTAACTGGCTTGGTGATCCTAGCCACCTTTCTGCCTGTTGAGACAGTACCTTAAATTCTTTTGTCCAAAGTACCTTCCCAGCTATAAACTCAGCTGACCTCCTATGGAATGCAAAGAGTCAAATTATTACCTCTGTCATACCACGGACGAGCAGCTCAGAAAGGTGTAGTGACTTGCCTAAGATCACACAAGTTCGTGGCAGAGTGAGGGCTAGAATTGGGGGTTCAACAGCACGGACCAGAGCAAGCTTGCTCATTGACTTGGCCATCTGACCCTTTCTCCTCCTGCACTTCATATTCTTTGAATCCACTCCTGTCCTTCTACGCACAATCTAACCTGAAAGTCAAATGCGTGCATGATTGCCCACAAGCAAAAAACAATGCACAATCCCCATATTATACAAAATGTTATCAGTAAAAATAAACTGCGTGTATGGGGGAGAATGAAGAGAGAAGCCTTTGTCTTGATCTATCTGCTTACTGCTTCTTTTTTCCCCCTCATTCATTCAACACTAGCATTCATTCCACAAATATTTACTGAGCCTCTATTACAAAATTACATATTGCATAGGAATATCCTAGACTTGTAGGCCATCTCTGCCTTCAAGGAGCTTAAGATCTAGCTAGGGAGACATGACAAACAAACAAGGAAGGCAGGATAACAATACAGGAGGGAGGTATAAATACAAACCAAGCAGGTAAGAGCTGCTGCCACCAGAGCAAATCTTGCATATTTCAAGTGAGCTGCACAGGCAATGAGGGTAAGAATTCAGTAGTTCAACACCAGGCAAAACTCACAGCAGTAAAGGGGAACAGAATCTGTCACCCCAGAATATGCCTAGTTGGCATAAGGATTATTGTAGACTGATTATTTTTAAGAAACAGCTGACATAGGAGAACTTACCCTTTTGTAAGAGATATTTACATTTATAAGGGAAATCTCCATTTTTAAATGTGTCTCCCTCTCTGTACAAGGTAGAGAAGAAAACTCTCTAGAAGCTCTCTAGAAACTCTTATCAGCAGAGGAGGCTACAATTTAAATCTGCATAACAACTTTACCCTTGTTTACTGTGGTTTTCCTGGTCACTCACTTTGAATAGCTGGCTCCCTCCACCCTCAACATCATTTGTCTTTATAAGATGGTAGTTAAGGTGGTGGCTTGTGCCATTTCAGGGAGTTACTCAGTTTTCCTGGGTCTCTCCCATGTACTGTATACAAAACGAGTCTCCCTAAAACTGTTTCCATGCTGAGTTTATGATTATCCTTTCTATCCAAAACTTTATTCCCTTTCCTGTCCTGCCCCTGTTCCCCCTGGGTGGTGGTGGGGGGGGCTTAGTTCCTGCAGAAGAACTCAAAGAAACACAAAGATTGTTATGTATACTCCTTGAGGAGGAACCAGGACCCTGCACTATTGTTCCTTAATTGCTCCTCCTTTGTTTATACATTCCCTTACTTCTCTGATTAGCAACTGTTTGAACCTGCCCTTTGGTACTCAGGGAAGTTCTAGAGGCTGAAGCCTTTTTCCAACACATAAGAAATGGGAGACCCAGAAAGGATTTGTACCCAGGAGGGCCTCAAAGGGTCCTGCTCGGTTTCAGTGAGGGAATGCAGAAACAAAGAAAAAGCAGGTAAACAAGAAAAGTAATGACAATAGTTCAGTGATAAAACAGAGTCCTAGTTCCTCCTCAAGAGATATACATAACAATCTGACATATATCTTTGAGTTTTCTGGAGGAACTAAGACACACACACACACACAGGTGGAGGATGGTGACTACTTGCTGAACACAAGCACATAGACCCCAGACTGGTTGGAACCAGAAGGTTGATGATTAAGATTCCAGAAACATCACCCTGTTATCTCATCACCAACCAATCAGAAGAAAGTCATGCACCCTGCAGCCCTCCCCTCAAATGTTGCCTTTGAGGCAACCCTTCCCTTAAAATCCCTTCCCTGAAAGCCTTTGGGAAGCTCAGGTCTTTTGAGCATGAGCCACCCATACTCCTTGCTTGTCACCTGCAATAAAAGCTGGACTTTCCTTCACCACAACCTGGTGTCAGTAAATTGACTTTGCTGTGCAGCGGGTGAGCAGACCCAAAGTTCAGTCCAGAAACATATACAGGAGGTATACATGTTATTAAATGTCTGTTTGTTTTTCTCCTGTTGATCTGTCTTATTGCAAGGGAGTCTCAGACAGGAACCTAGAAGGGGAGAGGGAACATTATTTTTCCTCTCCTACAGCAGTTCTTCTTGGGGGGCACTGACAGGGAAGGTAAAGGAAGTCTTCCAGAGTATAGGCAATGCTTATTTCTTGATCTGGGTGCTGTTACATGGGTGCACACATATGTGA